CAAAAAAATGAAGACCAACATGCCGATGAGCCTCAATGTATTCAATCAAGGACGGCGATACCTCAATATTAACAAGAATTCCACCAAATTAAAAAAATCAAATCTCGACCGTAGGCAACACCAACACTAGGTTGAAATGACAGAACACTTCTCCATAAGGCGACGGTAATAGCCCACTCAAATACGCAGGGAGAAACATCTTGCACCATATCTGCAGTACCATTACAACTCCTTGATGACCAATTGATAACAAGCGCTCAACACCGTATAAGAATGAGTAGGGAGGAAATAAAGGCATAAGCTTCAATGGAATAAAATTACACGATGGGGAATCAAGAAGGGAAGTGCTCCTAACAGCCCTATAGCCTCTCGAAGATAAGTAGAGACATCTCCATACCGATCCATAAGACTCTACTAGACTTGCTCATGACTCGTGAGACCTAAGTGAACCTAGTGCTCTAATACCAAGCTGTCACAACCCAAAATCCACAATAGGTTGTGATGGCGCCCAACGTCGCCGTTAGGCAAGCCAACTGTGAACTATCAGTTAATTATTCATTTTAGTATTTTTAAAATCATGAATCTTATTAGATGTTGAGTACGGTTCCCGATAATCTTAACGGGTCCTTGACCCCACTACATGATACTGTCAAAGCGAACGGCCAGATCCCATAAGAGTGTGATACATAATCCTACCGAGGCGAACGACCCGATCCCGTAAGAATAAAAAGCTGTAACGGGTACTTGAACCCACTCACGAATATACATGTGAGTTATGAAATTTAAGAAAACTTTTCGATGAATACACTCAACGCAAAAGAAATTCTTAAGGGAAGCACAACTTCTACGGCTAATCAAGTAGCTCATCAAATTTATAAAATAGCAAGTCCATTACTCTACACAAGTCTAGTCTCAGGTCGTAATGCGAAATAAAGTAATTAAACCGGCAAGAATAACTCAATTAGTACAATTAAAGCATGGCCTGAATTTAAATCTACCCAAACATAATCAGGAACTCTATCCTACGCACGAACACGTCACCTCATACGTGCGTAGCTCCCATAACATATAGCATATGATAAGTATATCACATATGGGTTAAATTACCCCTCAGAAAGTTAGATAAGAGACTTACCTCGCTTCAAAGTTCCATAACCGGCTCCAACGCCTCTCTAACACCTCAAACCGATGTTCATCGATCTGAAACTAGTCAAATAATATGCAAACCAATAAAAATATACTCTAATACTCATAATTAATCAATTTATGATAATTCTCAACTTCGCTTGAAAAGTCAACCCTCAATCCCACGTGCTCGGATTTCAAAAAAATTCAAAGATACACATTATCCTCAATACCACGAACTCAAATATATAATTTATTACTAATTCCAAGTCAAATTTCGTTGTCAAAATGCAAAAATAGCAAATGCCAAAATTTCCACCAACTTTCGTGTTAAAATTCCACATGTGATCATCAAATGTAATCAAAAGTGATTTAGAAACACTTACCCCCAAGACGTGGATGAAATAGCTCTCAAAAATCACCTAAAGTCGGCTCCAAGAGAGAGAAATGAGATTGAAATGAGCAAACCCCATTTTGGCTAGCATATATTTTGCCCAGTCAATTTTTCCGCACCTGCAGAACTCCTTGCGCTTCTGCGGAAGCTACCTCGCAGATGTGACTTCCTCTCAGGGGCCAACTTTCTGTTTCTACGGACATTCAACCGCAGATGCACATCTACTTCTGCGAAAATCACCCACTTTTGCAGACTCCCAGCTCGAGCAGAACTCCGTACCTACGTGCCTATGACAGCACCTGCGGCTCCGTAGGTGCACTACAACCTCTGCACCTTCGATCTTCCAGCCCCAGACTAATTTCGCTTCTGCGCTCCTCCGCCTGCATTTGCGAGCCCGCATGTGCGGTAAATTCCTCGCACCTGCGAATCCAACCAGTCTCAATCCCAATTGCTTCTACGACCCTTGGGCCGCTTCTGTGGTCTCGCACATGCGGCCATAACCTCACAGGTGCGATCACACCAGAAGCCTTAGGCATCAACAATTCCTTAAGTACAAAACTCGATCTGATTCACACCCGAGATTCTCGGGACCCCATCCATCCATACCAATAAGTCCTAAAATACGATACGGACTTAGTCATTGCCTCAAATCACATCTAACAATATCAAAACTATGAATCGACAATTAAAACTTTTCTTTAAACTTTCAAACTTTGACGAACGTGTCGGATTCATACTTAAACATCCCAGAATGACGCCAGACTTTACGCACAAGTCATAAAACACAATACAAACCTATTCCAAGGCTTGAAATCCCAAACAGACATCGATAACATCAAAGTCCACTTCAAGTCAAACATAGGAATTTCTAAAACTTTCAAAATGACAACTTTCCGAAATAAGCGCCGAAATGCTCCCGGACCACCGATACTCAACACGAACATATGTCCAAGTCCGAAATCATCGTACGAGCCTATTGGAACCTTCAAATCTCGATTCCGATATCGTTTATTCAAAAGTCAAACCCTAGTCAATTCTTCCAACTTAAAAGCTTCCGAATTGAGAATTTCCTTATGAATCAACTCTGAACTTCCTAGAATTCAATTTCGACCACACGTACAAGTCATAATACATGAAGTGAAGCTACTCAGGGCCTCAAATCGCTGAACAACATGTTAGAGCTCAAAACGACCGGTCGGGTCGTTATATTCCTAATATTTAGGATTTTAAATTTAAGTCAAATTTTATTTACGACATGCTTCGCGATTTGAATTAAATAAGAATTCCTAAAAATTTCCTAAATTTTTATGACCTTTTCAATTTATAAAAGAATAATGTTACTATATCAATTTATGGTACACGTTAGGAATAGTTATTAAAAGGAATTTTTATATTCCTATGCCATATAGTAAACTGTATTATCCTCCATGCTTAATTTTTAATATAATTACCTTCNTATATACCTAATTATCATTTATGTACCATTTTAGGATTTTAATGGTATTAATTAGTCTCCTAATTTTACTCAACCGTATATTCTCACTCCCCCAAGTTTCTCTCTCCAAATCTCACCACCTCACTCACGTATCAAACCACACCCCACGATTTCCTCTTCAATCACCCACGATTTCCTCTTCTAAAACTAGAAAAAATCTATAACCCTCCACCATTGACAACCATTAAAAAGTTTTGAAGCTTTAAATTCAAATTTGGGCTTTCAAAAGACATTGTTTGTTTGGATTGGATGTTGTTGCAAAAAATTGAGAATTCTCTATGCGTCTCTCTCTATCTCTCAATCCCAAATTTCAGTAATATAAGAGGAAAGGAAAAGAGAACAACAATTCTACCATTGACAGCCATTAAAAAGCTTTGAAGCTTTGAATTCGAATTTGGGTTTTCAAAAATTATTATTTGTTTG